AGAAGATCTGAACAGACACTTAACCAAAAGGGAATACAGATGGCAAATCAGCATATGATAAAATGCTCAACATCATACATTACAGATGATGTAACGCAGAGGACTTATAAGTAACTGAAACTATTCTGTATGATACTACCGTGATGATATATGTTATACATTTGCCAAAACTCCCAGAATGCAAACCACCAAGAATGAACCCTAATGTGAACTGGACTTTGCGTGATAATGTCTCAATGTATGTTCATTGATTGCAACAAATGTACCACTGTTGTAGAACATGTTGATAGTAGGGGAGAGGGAGCATCCGGGAAGAACTCTCTACTTAGTACTCAATTTTGCTATAAAACTAAAATGGCTCTAAAAAAAGTCTATTGAAAAAAAATCCCACATCTGGAAACCAAGAAAAACACATCACCTGATAATCTTAAAAAAAAAAAAAAAAAAAAGTCAAATGAAGGGAATGAAAACAAGATATTGATAAGTGAATGACAATGAAAACCTTGTAAGTCAAAACTTAACAGTTAAATCAGCACCAAAAAACAGGGATTTCTGAAAGCCAGTGAGCTAAGCACTGAGGAAGCTAGAAAAAGCAAAAGTAACCAAGAACTAAATAAAGACAGCATAAATAAATTTATGCAGTTACCCACCCACCAAAGAAAAAACAAAATAAGGAAGATGATAGCTACTGTGATTTGTAACAATATGCTAAATGATTATTAGACCTCAATGAAATAGAAAAATATCTGGGAAAAACACAAAATATTAGATGAAATTTAAAACTGGAATAGCTCAATGACCATTAAAGATATTGAAATTTCTATTCTCAAAAAGCATTAGGTGCAGTCGACTTTTAGTTATGCTCTATCAAGCTGTTAAGAAGCTACTAGTCATTTATACAAATTGTTTTAGGGACCAGAAAGAGGGGTTACCAACTTGAGACACAAGAAACATAAATATTAGCAAACTCAATTCAGAAGAAATTAAACACAGATGTGTGCACATATACACACCCTAAAAACACATAATAACTAGGGTTCATCTTAGTAATGCAATGATGGGTTAATGTCAGAAAATTTATCTGTGTACTTTCACATTAACAGACTAGAGAAGACATATCATGGTAATCTTAATATAGAAAAAAGAATTGGAGAACAATAAAAAATAGGTATTGAACTCTACAAATAATCCAGAAATAGAATTTAATTCAGATTATATAACAAAATGCTATAGTAAACACCATATTTAACAAAAATTTTATATGTATTTCCTTTGAGAGAGGAAATAAGACAAAGATGCCACCTTATCACTGCTACTGCTAACCACAATACTAGAAGTTTTGGCTGACACAATAAAAGTGGAAACAGATATGAGGATTAGCAGAGAAGAACCAAAACTGTCATTTGAGGATGACAGTATAATATAGATAGTATAATAAAACCCACTAAGCAAACCTGATAAACACATATAAAAGTGATAATTATAAAACTTAAAAGATTCAAAATAGCACCAAATCTTTTATCTGTAAACTAAGAGAATGAAGGCTATATAAGCCTTTAAGGAAAAAAATTTATATAAAAGATGGTGCAGGAAAACACACAGACCAATAAAAACATTCAGGTCATTTTTTTAAAAGAGAAAAACAGGTAAGCCACAGAACAAGAAAATTGTACAATGCCATTCATAGAAAAAAATGTCTTATATATTTATATATAGAAAACCCTGAAGACTACAAGAAAAGTTAAAATAAACAAGTTCATAATACTGCAAGATACAAAATCAGCATTTCTATACACTAATAATGAACTACCAGAGAAGTTAAGAAAACAATGTCATTTATAATTTTGGCAAAAAAAAAGAAAATACTTAGGAATAAATTTAACCTGGAGGTGAGATATATACTAAAAACTATAAAATGCTGACGAAAGAAACTGGAGACAATACAAATAAGGAAAAATATCATGCTCGCAGATTGAAAGAATATTGTTAAAAAGTCCATACTACACAAAGCGATCCCTATCAAAGATCCAATGGCATTTTTCACAGAAATATAACACGCAATCCTAAACTTTGTAAAGAATCACGAAAGACTCTAAATAGTTAAAGCAATCTTGAGAAAGAAAAGAACAAAGCTAGAGGCATCACACTCCCAGATTTCAAACTCTATTACAAAGCCATGGTAATCAAAACAGTATGGTATCAGCATAAAAACAGACACATAGAGCAACGAAATAGACTAGAAAGACCAGAAATAAATCCAGGCATACATGGTCAATTAATTTACAGCAAAGAAGCCATGAAGATACAAATGCAGAAACGACACTATCTTCAATAACGTTGGGGAAAGCCACATTTAAAAGAATGAAATTACACTATCTTAAACCATACACAAAACAATCTTACGCCACACACAAAATTTACCTCAAAATGCATTACAAATTTGAATTTAATACCTGAAACCAAAATTCTAGAAGAAAACATATGCAGTACGCTCCTGGACATAGAACTTGGCAATAATTTTTGGATCTGACTCCAAAGGCAACAAAAGAAAAAATAAGTAAGTAGGACTACATCGAACTAAAAAGCGTTTGCACAGTAAAGGAAATCATCAACAGATGAAAAGGCAGCTTACTGAATGGGAAATTTTTGTAAATCATATATCTGATAAGGGATAAATATCCAAAATACATAAAGAATTCATATATTTCAATAACAAAAACAAACAAAAAACAAACAACAAAAAAGTCCAATTTAAAAAGATGGGCAGAGGATTTTAATAGACATTTTTCCAGATAAGACAAAAAGATGGCCAAAAGGCACATAAAAAGATGCTTGACATCATTAATCATCAGGGAAATGCAAATCAAAACGACATGGCTTTTATCAGAAAGAGAAGAAATACTAAGTGCTGGAAAGTATGTAGAGAAAAGGAAACCTTGTGTGGCACTTAGGGGGAAAATTGATGTGGCCATTACAGAAAACAGCATGGAGGTTCCTCAAAAAATTAGAACTACCACATGATCCGACAGTTCCACTTCTGGGTATTTATTCACAGAAAACAAAAACATTAACTTAAAAAGATATATATGCACCCCTATGTTTGCTGCAGCATTGTTTACAATAGCCAAGATATGGAGATAACTTAAGTGTCCATCAATAAATGAATGGACAAAGGCATAGTGTATGTATACAATGTACTGAGTATTATTCAGTCATAAAAAAGAATGAAACCTTGCCATTTGTGAAAACATGGATAGACTTTGACAGTATTATGGTAAGTAAAATAAGTCAAAGAAAGGCAAATACCATGGCTTCATTTAACAAACAAAAATGCTCTAGATACAGAGAACAGATTAGTGGTTGCCAGAGGGGAGTAGTGGGTACTGAGAGAAATGGGTGAAGGGGGTCAAAAGGTACAAACTTTCAGCTATAAAATAAATTATGGGGATATAATGTACAGCAGGACTATAGTTAATACTGTACTGCATATTTCAAAGTTGAGAGAGTATATCTTAAAAGTCTTCATCACAATAAAAAAAATTTGTAACTTGTATGGTAATGGATGTTAACTAAATTTACTGTGGTGATCATTTCACAATACATACAAATACTTAATCATGGTGGATACCTGAAACTAACATGTTGTATTATAGCTCAAAGAAAATGATAAAATACAATAAAGATGAAAACTTGAAGAAAAACAAAAAAAACAAAAAAACAAAAAAAAGCTGCACAAAAATTTTCATAAGTTTCTCCCAATACATGTCTTAGGACACATATCCAAGTGAGCATCTCCTGAAGGTGAATGGGAGTGAAGAGAGAAATAAAGGAAAAAAATGTGATGGATCCTCCATGGATCAATGACAATGATCATAATCTCAAGAACACAAGTAACTCAAATTTGTGTACCTGAAATTTAATAAGAAAGAACAGAACAGCAGCAAGTTGTCAAACAAATATATAGTATTTTTGGATGGGGAAGTTTAATAGAAAAGTATGAAAATGTCGACTCTCTTAAAATGAAAATGAAATATATATAATCCCAGATAAAAACACAATTTTGTCTTCTGAATATGTCCTGGATGCATATTTATAGATTTCTTTGGGAGAGGGTTAGGGAAATTCATATGCTAACATCTGAAAATAGCTAAGGAAAAATGAAAAGAAACCATGAGGACTTGCCTTATTAAATATTAAAGCTACTTCAATCAGAAAAAGTATAATACTGGATTAGAAATAGACAAATGCAAGAAGAAAGTGAAAAAGCCCAGAAATAGATGACAAAATATGTGAGAATTTAATATATAACAGAAGAGGTATTTCAATTAACTGAGGGAAAAAAGATTTGATAGACAGCTGACACAATCAAAATGTTAATGGTGGTGGTTTCCTTATGATGGGAAAATTTAGGATGAAATTCGCTCTCTTCTTTTTAACTTATGTCTGCTTCATTTTTGTCCCAGTGAACCTGCATTATTTAAATAAGCAAGAAAAACATGAAACAATCAGTAGTCAAAAATAAAAACAGGCACTTACAATGGAAGAATACCAAATGGATATTTTCTAACCATTCAACTTTTATAGCAAAAGATACAAGAAAGTTTAAAATATTCATATACAGTTTATAATTAAGTCTTTTCCCTCAAATTAAAAATATTACCATATTTCCAATAAATTCCCAGCTTTCTCTATTTCCTCAATAATAATATGGGGATAAGTTACTTCTCAGGACTGTTGTTTTGACTAAATGGGATTATACATATAAACTCTTTTTTCCATTGATTGGAATTCAAAGCTTTGTAAAAACTGATATACATATTTGATTCCCACTTCTCTCATTAAGATCCATTAAAATGAAATTTTAAAATAAATTATTCAAACAATTTTTCAATGTTTGGCATGAGAAAAAGAAAAGAGTTCAACTTAATAGATAATATTTAACAGAAATAAGGATCAATATAGTAGGCTAAAGAAGTATAATGTATTCCAGAGGTACTTACTGCACCAGATGTTGTACCTAAAAAAGAAAAAAAAAAAAGAGAAACAATATTTACAAGGTGATGACATGTTTTCCTTAACAGTTTAAAAATACTACTATTTCTTCCACTTCATCCTATCACAATAAATATCCTAACTGTCCATATGATCTATGCGCTTGTTCTCTTCCCCATAAAATAAACATCTGGAGTGCAACTCATTTTCAGAATTAAGTAGCACTGTGAACTTTCAATATGCAATCTCACTTGGATCTGGTTTAAGAAGTATTCCCATATTTTCCTTTTGTTTCTCTTCTTGCTATTTACAGGTGTCTATCATGACTAATTCCTCTTGTTCTGCTAGAATACCGAAGTAAAAAAAAGCCATGAATCTTTGATCCTATGATTTAGGTTTCTGGAAACTTCAACTGGGATTCAGATTTGTGCTGTACAATATAGTATTCACTAGCTACCACACTTTCTTGTTTAAATTAAATTTAAATTGAGATTAAACAAAATTTTAAAATTCCATTCCTCTTTTGCACTAGCCAGATTTCAAGTACTCAGTAATTACATGTGACTAATTACTGTATTTGACAGTGCAGATTACAGAACATTTCCATCACTCCATAATATTCTATTAGAAGGTATTCCATAATATTCTATTAAACTACTACCATAATGCCCTTAAGATATAAGGAGAAATACACATTATTTACGAAATTCACATAAATAATTTTTAACACTAGAAAGTAATAACAAAAACACATGAAAAGAAAACAAGGACATGTAAAAAGAAAACAAAAAAATATATAAACATTGAGAGTAATCACAAGCAGCTACTATGGACATCAACGATAGAACTAAAGTATTTTAAAAAGTAATTAAAAAGAAATATTACGGATGTTTTCCAGGTTTATTTAGGGTAACAGTAATCAGCTCCAGATATATATAAATAGGCTAAAATATTATACCAGGTTATTTAAAAACATCATTTCAGCTCAAATAAATAATACTTGTGAAATATCTTAAAAAGATGTTTCAATTATGTCCACTATAAGCTTGCAAGAAAGCATATAGGGCATTTTAAACACGTTTTAATCCATCATGTTTAAAACAAAAAATCTTTCAGCATAATCACAGGATAAAGTTTAGCATCTGGAATACTAATTTGTGTGGACATTATTTACTCATGAATAAATAAGGCATCAATTATTATAATAGTCACACTTGTGAAAACAAACACTTATTGGTAATTGGCTGAAGAAAGAATTATCACATGACTTACAAACTCCAATGACTACCAGGATCAAAGAGGTTACAGAAAAGACTGAGTAGTTGTCCAGAAGGACAAAAATAATGCTCCCTATCTAAAATATGGAGGTGCTACCCAATTCCATGTTTGTTGAGTACAAATACGAACTCAGAGGTTTTCATTCGAATATTCTCTGAGTACCTACTGTGTTAACAAGGACCACTGTAAACAATGAATATTCAGATCATCCAAATTTCAAGATAAATTCAATCTTTATGTAAAGCCTACAGATATTAAATGTTAGCAACTAATTATAAAATTTAAAAACACTGTGTAGGCCAAAGTATATCTATAGACCAAATGTGGTCCCAGAACTACAAATCTAAAACAATGATAATTTCTTATGGATACAATTATGAATACTATCCCTATTTCTCATTATTTATTTAAAAAAAAAAAAAAAAAGGACAAAAATCAGGAGCTGATTACAAAGTCCAAGAGACACTGCTTCCATTCCTCAAAGGAAGTTCAATACATACCACCACAAATGGCATACATACCTGCTGCTACATCCATATTATTTACTCCTGGCTATAAGAAAAAAATAAAATTAGTAATATTCACCTTGTTTAAACTATATTTTACATAAGTTCTTCATAAAACACAATTAGTCCCCTCTCTGTATAATTCTCAAGCCACTGGCTCAAAGGTTTATTGGTCTCAGTTCCCAGAGCTTGCTATTAATTGTAAAAAAAAAAAAATAAAAAGGGGCTATAAGTACTTTAAATTCTTGTATTTATGTGATGATCAATTATATATACATATCCACAACCTTTTACCCACAATTATGAAATTCAAAGAGCTCTGAAAAACTAGTTTTTTCACATTTGGCACCAAAACTCATTATAGTCGCAAAACCTGCCCTGAATGACACAACCTCTTTAGTCTTCATTTACCTCACTTCGGAGGGAATAGCCACAAATTTTGCTATAGAAATACTGGGCTAGAAATTATAAGGCACTGCCTAAGACACCATGGGAAATTTTTACATAATATATATGTAATGTATTACTTTAGAATATTAAAAAAGACTTGAAATATATTTGGTCCCAGGGATTCTGGATAAGACACTGCAAACTTACCACCCCAGTGGAGTAAGCCACGTTGTCCATTACACTCGCTAGGCTATCGAGTTGTACAAATTTGAATATCATGATTTATATATTGCTATACTACCCAATAAGGGTGATAAGGTTAATTCAAGGATTTTCTAAGTAACATGCCACAGTTGAAGTCTCAAAAATAATGGATTTCAAATGCAACCTTCTGATTTCTAAATCTAGGATCTTGTATTAAATCACATTATATCAGTTTTTAATTAACATTCATTAAAACAAATGTCTACTCTTTAACATTAGAATGCTAGCAGACTAATAAAATGCTCTGGAAGACAAATTATGCTTTTTAATATTCTAGTCTTGTTTAATGTATAATTATTTTAATAAAGATGTTCACATATTATAAATATAGGAAAAAATTTAAATGCCTATCATTCAAGAAACTAAAAATAAGAGTCCACTGTAGTTCTCATCTTATATTATAGTATTCCAGAGGCACTTAAAAAGATAATGTGATTGCCTATAAATGACACATATATTACTTCATATACAAAAGTAATCAAAACATCACAGAAAATAAGCTATTTTCACAAGATTACCGGTAAGGCAGGCTGCATGGAAGCTTGAGACATATGAGACATCATCATTCCAGGCATTACCGAAGACATCATTCCAGGCATCTAGAACAAAAGTAAAAAAAAAAGTTACTATATAAGACCAAAGCACTTAACATGACTTGAAGAATCTGGTTATTAAAGCTAGTATGTACAACTTAAGATTAAAACCCAGTGAGGACTCTACTATATGGATAGTATGCTTAGTAAGTGCTTGTTGAATGAATGAAGTACTTTATCTATAGTCTATTTTAATACTTATGTCAAATTATTTGCTCAGTCAAAATTACTTTAACAATTCAAAAGTTTAAACCATTATATTATTAGTAATCTAAATTTAAGAATATTAATTTCTTTTTAATTTTAGCTAAACCCTCATGTTTTTCTTGCTTTTTTGGAGCAAGAAATTTTCCCTCATTATTTCTCGCCTTTGATTTTAATATCTAAATTAAATAAACTGTATAGCAATCGGGTCCTAAAAATTCTACATCAAAGGTGCTTGAAATTTCAGTGATTTTAAAAAGTACATAAAAACAAACTTCTCAAACAAAAATCATCTATGCCTTCTCTGGTAAAGAAAAACTTAATAAAGCACATACATGAATATCTTAAGAAAAAAAATATTAGTTTTGAATTTTAGTCTACCAGTGACTGCCATCCAAATCTATGAATTGTCCCTAAGTATGAACAAATTTCATGACGATGAATATAAATTTCTGAAGGATTCTAACCCTATGCTCATCTATACTAGTATCATTTCACAGTATATTTTAATATGAACAAATCTATACACATGGAGGTAAAAATTATATACAATAATTATAGGTACTAAAATAGATGATCACTTATTCAACAGTTTCAAGTTAAATAAATGATCTAATAATTAGGAACTAAAAAAGAAATAAGCATATTGGCCAATAGGAACATATAAAGTTTACTAAAGGTAGAGGAGAACAGACACACTGAATTTTATTACTGAAAGTCATGAAACAAAACTAGGCTAAAGTACCATTAAAACCAAACAGCATTAAAGGATTAAAGAAAAAGGATTTTTTCTGTTCCTCAAAACATTCAATAAACTGTTTAAATAACACTAAAAAAGAACTTGACAGAAAACATGTGACTAAAACTTGGAATCCATGGTCAAATAATAGTTAAAAAAACAAAGATACAGAATTTGAAAAACGAAGAACTGAGAAGCCTCCACCACCAGCTAACAGAATTATAGAATTTACACATTAAAGGAAAAAATTAGGGTGGTCAAATGAGAACTTTGCTTGTTCCCTCTCTTCCCCATCCCCAACAGACATACCCTCACAATTAATTTTGCTTTAGGGTAATAGCAAAATAGGTCTGAATTCTTTAAGAACTAAGTAACTGATTATGGGGGAGAAGTATGGTGGACAAGAGAGAAATAGCCTGCTATTTAAAATGGCCTATTTATAAAATCAAAAGCTAGCGACACACCCCAAAACTACAATTCTAAGCTAAATTGAGAAACTGAAGTTTGAAAACTTGAGAAAAAACAATCAAAGTATATTCTCATAAGAATTAAAAGTATTAAGTGGGATAAAAATTCTATCATGAAACAGACCATTTCCAAACAGTAGCAGGACAAATGAATGTAATTTCAAAATGAAATACTGATTTCTTAAGATATACAGCGATCAAATTGTTTAAAAAGCAAAGCACAAAAAAGCTTACATATAACAAAAGTTTACGAGACCATGCCAATGACACAGCAGACAATATCTGAAAATCATTAAAGGACAAAGTTTGACAGAATTCTCAATTGTTCTTCCCACACCTCAAATTTTAAAACATCTCAATCTGCCTTTAGACTTGAACTCATGGCACTGGGTTCTCGCTCAGTATCTCTAAATTCTGAGTGGCAACTACTTAAACTTGTTCAACCTGACAAACACTGGCAAGATTCTTAACAACTGAATATTCTAAAATTAATAGGTCATTAATATAATTTAAAAGCAAAACAGTGATGTTATTCAAATGAAACCAAAGAAAAGCATAAATATGCAAGATACTGTTTTTTATGAAAATTTACTTCAAGAATTTGACAAATTAACAGCTCTTCTAAGGCTTGAGCATCATAGAAAAGCTTGTTTCGCAAAGTTTGAAGAATCTACTTTGTGGAAATATTACAATTTCTATTTTTCATTAATTCTACAATAAACATAATATAGAGATGCATGATTCAACCCATGTCTGACTGAAACTGATTTCTTTCAGAGGATTTGTGTTGACTTAGTAAGCCAGTCACTTGGCACTACCATCAATCTGAGACCATTAAATTTTTCTACGTTATTATTTTTGTTTTAATATCACACTGATCACAGAAATCCTGGATGCAAGTTTATGAGAAGTGGCTTCTGGTTCAAATCCTCAGAAGTGATTTTTCCTTCCTCTGTTGAATAACCAAAGTTTATAGACATTCAAGCTACTTTGCTATCCTTTTTTGCATGGTAGGTTTATTTCTTGCTTTACATGTAGGGAATAAATAGCCCTCTGGTGTATCAGCTCTATTTGTAGAGTATTTCAGACTTCTCATTTTAGCCTTCTTAGGGCACATAATACAATGGAGTATCCCACCACTGATGACACTGTAAGTTCGAAGAAATGAGATACTGTTTCAAAATGGCTAGAGAAAATTTTAACACAGTTGCTACAATAATGCAACAAATTCTATAAGCCAGATCATTCTTGAAATTACAATGTGGTAGTTCATATAAGCTTAATGTGAAGGACACTATAAAATCACAATCACTAGTGCTTCATACTTTCCATGTAAGCTACTTTGGCAAATATGATATGTGCCATAATAAAGAATTTTTAGTTGTTAAGAAATAAATACGAAGGGTAAAAAATGTATATGTGAGACATAAATATTATACCTTTGAATTTTATGGACAATTTGGCATCTTCTAAAAACAAAAAATAATTCTGATGTACTATTTGATATACGTTATCCAAAAGTGGCCAACCATTCCTGTCTGTAGATACACATATACATATGTATACCTATATATTATTTAAACAACTTTTATGTATATTTCTATACTTCCAATAATAAAAGTTAAATTATCAAGATCATCTGAGAAGAATCACCAGTGTGAAGAAAAGTAACCTATAAAAACTAGGGAGCACCGCACAATGTAATCATTCTTAGCATCTCAGTTTGGAGTTTCTAATGTTAGATAAAAACAAGCATGCTTCATTTATCACTCTAGGTATTTTTAAAATTAAGAGATACAGTAAGTAATAAAAGCAATCTTATCAATGCTACAGCACATTAGTGGTACAAAATATAAACTAAATTAGCCCGATTTTATTAGGATATGAAAACAAAAGTAAACACCTTCATGTAGATACTTCAAAGCTTCTTTTTTTCCTAAGTGTTTCCTGAAGTTTTCCTGCAGGAAAGAAATCATACAACCTAACTTATCTTTTGTATAAATATTAACTCTTAAAATTGGCTGTTGTGTTAAAAACCATTCTTGCTGCAAACCTGCAGGTGCAAATTAATTATTTAAAATTCGATTCCTCTATTTTTACTTGGTTACTTTTAAATGTGCTAAAGTCAAATCCCACAAGAAAAGTAGCACACTCTACAGAGGTTATTAAGTATAGTATTTAAAAACTATCTTCTACACCACTAACTTACCTTATGAATCTATGAATGAATGCAAAAAATTAACTTTTGGCTACTCCCAAATTCAACTACTAATAGCTAATACTAAAATCACAATCACGTAGTGCTTCATACTTTCCATGTAAGCTACTTTGGCAAATATGTTATGTGCCATAATAAAGAATTTTTAGTTGTTAAGAAATAAATACGAAGGGTAAAAAAGCCTTTACCAGAAGCCTTTACCAGAAGCCTTACCGATATCATAAACAGTCTATTAACACATATTTTGTGTGTCATATGTATTTTACACTGTATTCTTACACAATAAAGCTAGAAAAAAAGTTAAAAAAACATAAGGAAAAAACATTTACAGTACTTATTGGAAAAAAAAGACATTGCTAAGTAGACTTATACAGTTCAAACCTGTGTTGCTCAAGGGTCAACTGTATACACTTTCCCTTCAGATTCGAAGATTAGCTTAATGACATAAATGTCATACTGCTATACAGAGAAAGCAGCCTACCACTGCTATAAAGTACACTTTGGAGTCAAGACTGCTCAAATTCCTATCTCAGGTTAGCCACTTACCGGCTATGTGATCTTGGGCTAATTTACTTAAACTATTTGGAACCCAATTTCTGCACCCATAACACAAGAGAAAAATAGTACTCATCTGATAGTATTGCTGTAGGGAACAAATGGGATAATACAGAAAAGGCGCAATGCTCAATGAATGATAGCTGTTTTATTACCACTACTCTCCTTCAACTCATATAATGAAATTATCTCTTTTGTTGCCCCTTGTCTCATCTATTCCCTTCAGCTGTATTTAAAGGCGTCTAGTTAGTATTATAAAAAATCATCTTCAGTAGGAATAAACATGTAATAACCCGTAACGAAAAGTCAATCCCAGGTTAAACATCAGTTTAGTGCTGGCTCTGCAATGTCACAATTCATTTAATTCTCTGGGTCTTACTATTTCTATCTGTAAGTTGAACATCCATCTAGCCAACCCACTTTTCAAAATCAGGAGAATCAAATTCAATAGGATATAAGAATTTCTCAAAGTTATATACAAACACTGAGATAAGAGCCTTTCTAACACAGATTAGGTTATCACAGTCCCATTCCCTGAAACCTTAAAACAAACAAACAAACAAACAAACAAAAAAACCCTAAGTATTGGCAAGGATGTGGAGAAAAGGGAATCCTCAAACACTGTTGGTGGGATTGCAAATTTGTACAGCCACTATGGAAAACAGTCTGGAGGTTTCTTAAAAAATTAAAAATGGCTATACCTTTTGACCCAGCAATTGAACTTCTGAGTATTTATTCAAAGAAAATCAAAACAATAATTCGTAAAGATCTATGCACCCCTATGTTCATGGCAAGCACAATTTGCAATAGCCAAGATATGGAA